AAAAATTTGTTGACTTACATGCCTCTAATATCTTAAATGAACAGCCAGACTTGACAATGTATGCCTAATACTACTATATGTTTCACCTAACATACAACGGTGATCGAACTAAATACCATTATGGCTTTATTACCCAACTAGCTTTTGGTGTGGGAGAGACATTCTTCGGCACGAATGGGTCGGTTCCGGCTCAACTGGAGTGAAACCACGGGCGAGTAGAAAACTGACGTGAAACAAAGATTGCGTTGTGTTTCGTCTTGAAAGTTAGTTTATCGGAGGCCCTCCCCCCTTCCCCAATCCCTGAATCTTTAATAATCCTCAAAATCCTAACCCCAAAAGGTAATGCACAGTGCATCTGGAATACCAGAGGCATCTGCTATTCCAGGTGTCCATGGGCGACGGCGATTGTTTATCATCAGGTGACCGGACTAGTCGTTTATCGGCATATATCATAAAAAATCATCGAAAAGGGCAAAGATTTGGCCCATTTTTACCATACCAGTTACTCAATTTGTCATCTGCTCCTTGATCAAAAATAGCTATCATGATACAACGAAGATATATAAAGATCCGGCAACACCTTAATAACATAATATGATATTTTTTGCTTAAAAAACTTCGGGTACATAATAGCAAGTTGAAAATCGTATAGCAAATACACGTAGTTGATATTTGTTTAGCAATCCAAGGTTGGATGTTATCTACAACATATTATATGATTCGACCCGAAGATTATCGCTTGAAAGGTTGATAGTGCACTGCATATATCTTGGAATACTTGCAGTGGAATTGTTTACTTATAATTGTGCGGTTACTAGATCAATGTGGGTGAGGTTATAATAACAATTCTGTGATGTAATATTCATGAATGTAATAATAGTTATTTGTCAAAAATAATTGTTACTATAAAAAAATTTTTCTTACTTTTTTATTACTAAAAATGTTCTGTTTTTTTTATAAATATGTAATTTTATTATTTATAATGTTTTTGTAAAATCTAGGCATAAAGTGATTTCAAAATACGTATTATATTAATAACCTTTAAATAGAAGAAAATTTATAAGTATTTATGACATAGTTATAAAACATAACGTCATTATACCCCCGAAACAATAGGCATAGGCACCTGCTTATGCCTATAGTTTACCTACCTATAATATACGTTCAATTTTATTCTCTATTCAACCGATTTTTTACTAACAAATAAAATAGTCGATAGATTTTCATCGAGTTCACCACATCCTTAATCATTGAAGTTGCCATTACCAAAAAAATGTATAATTATAAATTTTCCGCTTAATAATTTTAATTTAATTCGTTTATTTGTTTAAATATTAACGTATGAATAATTTGTCAAGCACATAGTTTTAATAATAACCTTCAAATAAAAAGAGCGACAATGTAATATTTACGGACAAGGAAAACTGTAATCTACCATTGAATTACTTACGTCTTTGCTTACGAAAATTAAAAAAAAAGTAGTGTGACGTCAACGTTCGTTTTTACCTACAAAGGTTTTCCGTTAATTTTAATTTATAATGAATTTTAATTTGAACAATGTTTAAAAATGTTAAATTGTAATTAGCAAAGTGTTAGCAAATATTTGAAAGAACAATTTGCGAATTTAATTTTATCATGCAATACAAAAAACCAATTTGTTTTTGGTAGTACCTAGATGATGCCAAAATTTTAGAAATGGAACCCAAAAGTCGGTAGCTCTTCTTATAAAAATTATATCTTCCCCGTTTTTATTCAACGAAATATTATTATAATCTTAATTTTCGAAGATTCGCTACCTAACTAGACATTGTCAACATGTTTGTGCGTGGTATTGGTATCACCGTCGATGCGTAGGTAAAAAAATACATTTTTATTTACATAACCGGCTTGAATTCTAACCATGTAGGTCAAATTGAAACGACGCCAGTTTCTGTACGAAGGAAGGTATATAAAATAAGGGCAAAACAACATTTAAATTTTTAAATAAATTACTCATTACGCTACTTTGATTGACCTTTTCAAAACAAAGTTATCTTGGCGCGGACTAGTACCTAATTGCGTTGGAATAGATAGATAAAATTTTCACCCTAGTTCTCTGGACTACTCTGGATAGACAGCCACCCTCGCTACATCCTTCTTGACTGGACATCTACACTACATGAGCTGCTGTTTACCTGTGAAAATTAGCTCATGACGATACCTAAGTACGTGTGTCGCCTGGACAGTCAACCTCACTACATCCTTGTTGACTGGACAACTAGGTACACTACATATATACGCTAGAAATGCTACAATTCTGGCGTAAGAGATAAAAAGGCCAAACTTTGACATACAAATTAGTATGTTAAGTTAAATCGAGTCTTAATGTAGGTAAATAAAACTTTAAATCACCTTGACAAAGGTTACACGGCTTCTTCTATTTCAATAATACGATCATGACGTTTATTTAACTATTGGAACAGGTTTGTTTTTCATTGGTTTTGATCTCATACAAATATCTAAGATTTTGGTGACACACTTAAAATGTATTTATAGAACTACGCAACATGGGGCTTAGTTCAAATGACAATGACCAAATTTGTATGGAGCGTGGTGCCTTTTCATTTTTTCGCGGCAGTTGATCGGATGTGGAAAAACTGATGCAGAATAACATTACAAACAAAAAAATATATGGGGTCTTATATCAAAAACACAGTCCAAACCGAGTTAAATCAGTTCAAAGATGTGAAAATAGTGCTGTATTATTCCTGTGATTTTGTTGATGGTGACCGTACACAATGCATAATTCTTCATTTACTTGTCAGAAATGTTTTGTTATAAATGTTTATAAACGACTTTAAGGAATATAATAAAGCTTATTGTGGACATTTTCACATTTCGCTTGATTGGCTAGCATGTTCAATTTATATGTACCTATACGGTTTATGGCCTATGACAGATTTTCATGATCAATTTCCTCTCAGTCAAAAACCCGCAAAATACTTTACTGAGCCCTATCATGAAATGCTATGTTTGTCAGCTGCGGCGTCGGTAGCGGATTGAGTAGTGGCAGTCGTCAAAACACGAAAAAAACATTTTTCTGTCTACTTCTCCCGACTTACTTCCGATTAGTAACTAATCTAACTACGGTTAATACTTTAATCAACATCTTCGTCGTTCGTCATTCAGTCACAAAGTGATTGAATTTCGACTGATCACATTAAGTACTTATATGAAAAAATTATGAGCTCATCCGATGTATAGTCCATCACTTTACAAAGTCGACGGTTTCCTCTCTTAAAAAGATTATGGCTAACTATAAAGTAGTCTGAGTATGAGTCTCCCACCAGGAGCTAACGGCAAAAAAAATACTTTATAAGATGTTTGGATGGCTACAGCTACTCAATCCACCACTGGTACCATAGCTGACACTCATGAAACTTCATGACACAACTCCTAGTAGCATCCCACAAGTTATTGACTAAGAGAAAATAGCTAATAAAAATTAGCGACTGGCAATATGGATATATTGTGGTGTGATTTGGTATTTCTGTGCCCGGCGTACAGTGGCACGCAATTTAAAGTTAAGAATTGTGACAAAAATATGAATAATTTGAATAAAAAAACCAAAGTAACATGTTTGACTCCAGCTCCTTTCAACGCTCATAACTCAGTCCAGACTGAGATTTCCATATATGAGCCCATAGACAATTTCGTTTGTAATGTTATTCTAGATAATATTTTCCATAAATCATCGACTGCCGCTAGAAAAAAGAAAGGCACCAATTTTAGTCAATGCCCTTTGTTTTACGGTAGCGCGATCGACATGTTTAGTTTATGACGCTCGATGCTCTGAAGCTCTGATTGGCCTGCTTCAATTGGGTACTTGCCAACAAGTCAAATTTAATACTTTTTTCGAACTGTCAAAAACGAGAGTCTTCTATGAATTTTGTAAGAGGTTGTGTATTGTGACGTCACGTTTTTTTAGCGTCAAACAATATACTTATTTCTCAACAATTTGCTAGAAAAATACATACTAAAATTAAGTTGGTTATAAAATCAATTGATGAAAGTGTGATTATTTTATAATGTTTTATTGTAGTCGATATATTTTATTTTTGATTATGGAAAGTACCTAATTAACAAACCAAGAGGGCTAAACACGGTAACGTGTCAAACGTGTTGGCGTAGGTAGAAAAAACGAAATAGGACTTCTGATATTGTGCACCAAATATTTGTAAAGAAATTATATTTTCTTTAATAATTATTGTTCATATGAGATTTAACTAATTAAACTTTTTTATGTTACCATAGATAACATTTAGAATCTATGGATTGAGAACTGTCAAAACAAGAGACGTGTTAATTTAATATCTTACGGAATTTAATTAAAATAGATAAAAGGGAGAATTTGGAATTTAAATAATAGGCTTAATCGTTGTTTCTTTGATTTACAGGTGAGATGATCATTATTATTTTATTACTAGATTATTAGTGTACCTAAATATGTTATGTTGTTGTATAATAAAATCTTTGATTTACAGAGCAACACGTGGTTTGTTATTTCTACTTCAATATCTCCAAATAATCCAATCATTACATATTTATAAAATTGATCGATTTTAAAGCTATCTTCAAGATTTCCAGGATGGTAAAAAATAGTGTTACAAAGGCTATCCCTAATTTTAACAATATAATCGACCGATTTGCACTTTTCTAAGCCACAATAACGAAATTTTTGTTTTAAAGATACCTAGAGTAAAGACAATTAGATAAACAAATTAAATATCTCTATCAAAGTCCATAACATTTAAAAGAGTCGAAATTGCTCAATTTTCTCAAAAACTGAATTACGTAAAATGATCCCTAAAATATTTATTAACCCCTCGAGTGTCTTTATGAGCACCCGGTGGATCATAAGAAAAAATGCTCCAAATGTCACGTGTGCACCCGTTGGATCATAAGGAACGCGGACGCTCGACGGGTTAAAACCATCACCACAATCGCAAAAGTACACTTACTGCAAAGTCCCAGAATTGGGTGTTCTTAGAAGTCTAAAATCCTGTTGCTTCTGCTGTTCCTCATCACGCCTTGGGGGGCCTTCCTCAGGGTCAGTGCTTAACGTCATCTGGAACTTCTGGGTCAAGTTCGGAATGACTTCCGTGATCCCATCATCGTCGAACGACTGGGGCTCATTATTTTCACCAAGCACAAACCGCTTCGATGTTCTCCTCTTCAACATGATCACAAAATGGCTGACATACGCGAATAAATTTGAAAAAACGTTCATATAATCACTTCGCACTATTCATTCTTAGTCTTTTTTCGTTTGCAACACTGTTTTCACTTATTTTTGTGGTTGGTTACTGTAATTGGTAGGTAATATGGATGATGACAGGGTATGACACTTATGCTGGAATACTGAAACGTTACTCAATTTTAAGTCACTTCACTTTAAATATCGTGCCATCTCTGTCATTTCACAAAGAATTAGTGGAGACAGAACTATACTTAAGCGCGACTTAAAATTGAGTAGCGTTTCAGTTTTCAGACATTATCTAAAGTCCGTCAGCTAGGTAATGAAAAAATATTAGACACGTATTTTTTTTTCATTTGTACGTATAGGTAAACGTACCTAAAAGTGACGTCACAATCATGATATTCAAATCAATATATCGTGAAAGTATTTGTTTTCGTGAGAAAATAAAAAAGTGTCTAATGTTTTAAAATAATCTACCAGACGGACATTGTAATAACAATTAGTCATCTACCCTATTATTTACTAGATAAATTAGTGATATGCGCCTAACTCCCGTAACTTTTCGAGGGCGCTCGACTAGTTTCGAGTATCAAGCGAGGCTTATAAATATAAACAAAATGCGCCGTGTTACGTGTGTGAGCCGTAGTAGGTTTGTTTTGTTTTCGTTTGGTGATAGTTATTAAGTTGATAGGTATTTGGTGACTAGAATAAAAATTACCAGCATAGAACATTAAATTATTATAATTCCCTCATTTTGACTCAACTACAGTACTATCAAAGAGTAGAATGTTTTAAAAAAAATCCTATTTTTCACATTTCACCCACTTATCACTATATTCATGTTGCGATACCATATAATAGGGGGTGAGCCTATTGCCATATACCGGGCACAATTCCAGACTCCGTGCTACTACTGAGTTTTTTTTAATCCCAGTAGAACCTTGCCCGACCCGGGAAACGAACCCGAGAGTGAGTCGCACTTGCGATTGCGACTGACTACTCGGCCAACGAGGTAGTCTGAATTTTACAAAAATGGTACCTAATATTATCTAACAAGAAGACCTAGATAAACAAATCTAATAAGGTAATGTTAGTCACTTAGAGGTAGTATAACATTGCGTGACATCACGCCTTTTAGTTGAATTCGTGTAGGTAGAGATTACTTATTAGTAAATTCAAAATTATCAATTTAACCTACTTATTAAAAGGTGCATTATTTAAATGCTTTATGCACAATTTATAAAATTAAGCTGCTGAGCAAAGCCTCTTCTCACACGGAGAAGGTTTGAGCATTAATCACCACGCTTGCTTAATGCGGGTTGGCGATTACAAACTTATAAATCGAAATTATAAGTCCAGGTTTCCTCACGATGTTTTCCTTCACCGTTTGTCAGTGGTGTCTGAATAATCTTAGAAAGTACATATGACTCGGAAAAAGTCACATTGGTACTTGCCGTTGGTAGGTTTCGAACACGCACCCTCATGCATGAGAAGCGGGCGTCTTAAACCTCCGGGCCACCCACGACATACTACGACATACACGACAATTTATTAAATAGATCGAATCCAATACGACTTTCAATTTGTTTACATGAAGGGTATACGCAGAGGTTCGCATCAAGCTTCCTTGTGCGTACTGCTTAAGAGTGGAATTCTTTGCCAGAGTTTATATTTCCTGAAGGGTATAATCTGGAGTTGGGCGGTGCTGGGGTACGCCAAATATTCGTGAACGGGCACCGTCGATTGGAGCTGGTCAGCCCTAGACTGTATCAATTTATTATCCTCAAGGTTATTTTCTTTTTCAGTCTTTGACTGGATTTAGGTGTTGCATTGTTCTCACATAATCGAACTAGAGAATTGTATTGTAAACCTGATTGAAAAAGAGTAACCTATGGAGTTTTTTGCTCGTTCTTCTAAGGAATCTACACCTTGGAATGAGCAAATAGCTTCACTACTAAATTTTTGTTGTTTGACGTTCAAAAGTGCCATCCTGGTCTAATTGAAATAAATGATTTTGACTTTGACTTTAACTATCTTCAAAGCCCGAGTGAATGGGTTACCTATGGGACGACGTGCTCCATCGCAGACCGCATCATCGCTTCGCCCATCAAACATTAATAACAAAGGTTGGCAGGCACCTAGACAAGCTTGGCAAAAAGACTTTGGAATAATAGAGGTCGCTAGCATCGTACCTGTGGCAACCTGGTACACACGGCTACACATCGAGCTTTACATAACCAGTATAAACTGAACGTTAAATGTGCGGAAAGATGATGCGACGCGACACCAGGATAAACTGGTTTTGTATAGATTGATGTGTGGTCGTGTGTACACTACGACCTAACTCAAAATTCAAATTTAAAATTCTTTATTTATTTATTTTTTATGACATAAGCCGATAAACGAGTAGACGGATCATCTGATGGTAAGCAATTGCCGTCGCCCATGGACACCCGGAACATCAGAGGCGTTACAAGTGCGTTACCGGCCTTTTGGGGATTAGGAGTTTGAGGATCGTTGGGGATTCAGGGATTGGGGAGATTGCGGAAGGGGAGGGTAATTGGGCCTCCGGTAACCTCACTCACACGACGAAACACAACGCAAGCGTTGCCTCGCGTCGGTTTTCTGCTCGGCCGTGGTATCACTCCGGTCGAGCCGGCCCATTCGTGCCGAAGCATGGCTCTCCCACACTTAAATCTTAAGAATGACAATATCTGTCTAACATTGAAGCATTCCCAGTAAGTTATACAATACTTGTGTTGGGACTGACTCGATCCTTTCTTTATTTATTTAACACTCTTAAGAATAATAGCTTCTAGATCTGTAATTGACCTAATTAAAGGAAAATTACAAAAAATACCAACTATATTGATATTTGTAATTTCATCGAGTTTCAAAAGAGGAGGTACTATGGTTCGGATTATTGTTTATTCATGGGATATGGTCCTGTGGCGACATAGGTAAGTCACAAAATCAACGTATGACGTCACAAGAATCCTACATCGCACATGCAAAGTTTACAAGCGAATAAACACGGATAGAAAATTCCAACGAACAACTGTTGGGTAGAAAGTCCGCCAGGCACGATCACCTCGCCTGGTCGGAGGATCCTCCTTTTCCGATCTTATGGAACTTTCCACTCTGTTCCCTAAAGTCCGAAGTGAGAGATTCAGTCCAATTTTCGTTTGCCAAGTTGTAGGTACTATTCACTAGTTCTGAGTCCATAATGCAGACCGTTTTCTATGGGGGAAATCATCGAATGACTTCTCCCGCCAGGGTGAGGCGGGAGGGAGTGTCAGACTCTTACTGACTAAAAACCACCATAAGGCAGATACTAGTGATTCTATTGCTATGCACCGGGCATAATAAAATTATAGATCCCATTCTATTTTTATAGTAAACTAGCTACTTCCGCGCGGTTTTACACGCACTGCTCAGCTCCTATTAGTCGTAGCGTGATGTTTTATAGCCTATAGCCATCGTCGATAAATGCACTATCTAACACAAAAAGAATGATTAAAAACAGACTTGTAGTTATGGAGATTAGCGCGTTCAAACAAAAAAACAAACTCTTCCGCTTTATATAATAAGTATAAGATATTGTATATTGTACATTTTTCAAAACAAAGAATCTCAATATTATATTATACTCTTTTATCATGGACAGAATCAGAGATTTAGGTACATACATCTATATATATAAAAATATTTCTGTTCGTTAGTCTCGCTCAAACTCAAGAACGGCTGGACAGATATGGATAATTTTGGCCTTGTAGGTAATGTTTGTGAAAGTACAGGGTTTAAAAGATGAGAAAAAATTAGGCGGTTCGAAGTTTGCCGGGTCAGCTAGTAAGTAAATAAAAACAGACCTTCCCTGACTCAGGAATTGTACCCGAACCAGTCTTGGTATCATTCGGTAATCTTAACTCTGTAATTTCGAGAAAAAATCTCTACTCAACACAAAAATGATAATCTACTCTAAGCAATCAAAAATGGTTTAAAATGTCGTTAGAAAGCAATTTGTTTAGGTATATTTTAGTCGATAAAATCGTAAATCATCACGCTAAGAGGTTCTATCATAAGTAGGAGAATTGGTGTAAAACAGAAGACAGAAGTACCTACACCTAAATGTCCGGGTCGATGACGGCAAGTCTAACTAAACTACCTAGCCCATTTATTTATTACCCGCGGCTTCGCTCGCGTCACAAAAGAATAAAAAGTAGCCTATGTGACATATACCAATACACACAGCGCCATCTATACCAATACTTTTGTTTTTCCTCGGGAACATCAATTTTTTCCGGGTTAAAAAGTACCCTATTATTTAATCCGGGCTTCTATCTTTACGTCTGCAAAAATTCAAAGCAATCGGTTGAGTAGTTACGGCGTGAAGGTGGAACAAACAAACAAACTCACTTTCAGATTTAGTATAGTATATAGTATATAAGTATTATATAGTAAGGATAGTAAGGATTCTTTTATGTACAAATAATATGGCACATAAGGCGAACTTAATGCCATATGGCATTCTCTACCAGTCAACATAATTAACATAACATAACATAACATCACGCCTTTTATCCCTGAAGGGGTAGGCAGAAGTGCACACAGAAGTAACACCCACTTTTTACTATTTATGTTATGAGTCCCATGTAATTTACATGGGACAGTGTAATAGGGGATGAGCCTTTTTTTATTTATTTTTATGGGACAAGCCCGCCACAACCTCCCAAAACCGCTGCGACTCCTGTAAGCCAGGATCTACAGTAGATACAACCATGAAAACACCGGTTTGACAACAACAAAACAGGGTGTGAGCCTATTGCCATATACCGGACACAATTCCAGGCTCCGTGCTACTACTGAGAATATTTAAAAACCCAGTAATAATTTGCCCGACCCGGGAATCGAACCCGAGACCCCTTGCCCGGCAGTCGCACTTACGACCACTCGGTCAAAGAGGCAGTCAATGTCAACAATATACAACCACAATCGTAGCTGTTGAAATAGCATTCAGAGTACGGAATACT